GACGACGGGGACGACGGGGACGACGGGGACGACGGGGACGACGGGGACGACGGGGACGACGGGGACGACGGGGACGACGGGGACGACGGGGACGACGGGGACGACGGGGACGACGGGGACGACGGGGACGACGGGGACGACGGGGACGACGGGGACGACGGGGACGACGGGGACGACGGGGACGACGGGGACGACGGGGACGACGGGGACGACGGGGACGACGGGGACGACGGGGACGACGGGGACGACGGGGACGACGGGGACGACGGGGACGACGGGGACGACGGGGACGACGGGGACGACGGGGACGACGGGGACGACGGGGACGACGGGGACGACGGGGACGACGGGGACGACGGGGACGACGGGGACGACGGGGACGACGGGGACGACGGGGACGACGGGGACGACGGGGACGACGGGGACGACGGGGACGACGGGGACGACGGGGACGACGGGGACGACGGGGACGACGGGGACGACGGGGACGACGGGGACGACGGGGACGACGGGGACGACGGGGACGACGGGGACGACGGGGACGACGGGGACGACGGGGACGACGGGGACGACGGGGACGACGGGGACGACGGGGACGACGGGGACGACGGGGACGACGGGGACGACGGGGACGACGGGGACGACGGGGACGACGGGGACGACGGGGACGACGGGGACGACGGGGACGACGGGGACGACGGGGACGACGGGGACGACGGGGACGACGGGGACGACGGGGACGACGGGGACGACGGGGACGACGGGGACGACGGGGACGACGGGGACGACGGGGACGACGGGGACGACGGGGACGACGGGGACGACGGGGACGACGGGGACGACGGGGACGACGGGGACGACGGGGACGACGGGGACGACGGGGACGACGGGGACGACGGGGACGACGGGGACGACGGGGACGACGGGGACGACGGGGACGACGGGGACGACGGGGACGACGGGGACGACGGGGACGACGGGGACGACGGGGACGACGGGGACGACGGGGACGACGGGGACGACGGGGACGACGGGGACGACGGGGACGACGGGGACGACGGGGACGACGGGGACGACGGGGACGACGGGGACGACGGGGACGACGGGGACGACGGGGACGACGGGGACGACGGGGACGACGGGGACGACGGGGACGACGGGGACGACGGGGACGACGGGGACGACGGGGACGACGGGGACGACGGGGACGACGGGGACGACGGGGACGACGGGGACGACGGGGACGACGGGGACGACGGGGACGACGGGGACGACGGGGACGACGGGGACGACGGGGACGACGGGGACGACGGGGACGACGGGGACGACGGGGACGACGGGGACGACGGGGACGACGGGGACGACGGGGACGACGGGGACGACGGGGACGACGGGGACGACGGGGACGACGGGGACGACGGGGACGACGGGGACGACGGGGACGACGGGGACGACGGGGACGACGGGGACGACGGGGACGACGGGGACGACGGGGACGACGGGGACGACGGGGACGACGGGGACGACGGGGACGACGGGGACGACGGGGACGACGGGGACGACGGGGACGACGGGGACGACGGGGACGACGGGGACGACGGGGACGACGGGGACGACGGGGACGACGGGGACGACGGGGACGACGGGGACGACGGGGACGACGGGGACGACGGGGACGACGGGGACGACGGGGACGACGGGGACGACGGGGACGACGGGGACGACGGGGACGACGGGGACGACGGGGACGACGGGGACGACGGGGACGACGGGGACGACGGGGACGACGGGGACGACGGGGACGACGGGGACGACGGGGACGACGGGGACGACGGGGACGACGGGGACGACGGGGACGACGGGGACGACGGGGACGACGGGGACGACGGGGACGACGGGGACGACGGGGACGACGGGGACGACGGGGACGACGGGGACGACGGGGACGACGGGGACGACGGGGACGACGGGGACGACGGGGACGACGGGGACGACGGGGACGACGGGGACGACGGGGACGACGGGGACGACGGGGACGACGGGGACGACGGGGACGACGGGGACGACGGGGACGACGGGGACGACGGGGACGACGGGGACGACGGGGACGACGGGGACGACGGGGACGACGGGGACGACGGGGACGACGGGGACGACGGGGACGACGGGGACGACGGGGACGACGGGGACGACGGGGACGACGGGGACGACGGGGACGACGGGGACGACGGGGACGACGGGGACGACGGGGACGACGGGGACGACGGGGACGACGGGGACGACGGGGACGACGGGGACGACGGGGACGACGGGGACGACGGGGACGACGGGGACGACGGGGACGACGGGGACGACGGGGACGACGGGGACGACGGGGACGACGGGGACGACGGGGACGACGGGGACGACGGGGACGACGGGGACGACGGGGACGACGGGGACGACGGGGACGACGGGGACGACGGGGACGACGGGGACGACGGGGACGACGGGGACGACGGGGACGACGGGGACGACGGGGACGACGGGGACGACGGGGACGACGGGGACGACGGGGACGACGGGGACGACGGGGACGACGGGGACGACGGGGACGACGGGGACGACGGGGACGACGGGGACGACGGGGACGACGGGGACGACGGGGACGACGGGGACGACGGGGACGACGGGGACGACGGGGACGACGGGGACGACGGGGACGACGGGGACGACGGGGACGACGGGGACGACGGGGACGACGGGGACGACGGGGACGACTGGGGACGACTGGGGACGACGGGACGACGCGGGACGACGGGGACGACGGGGACGACGCGGACGACGGGCGACGGACGGGACGACGGGGACGACGGGGACGACGGGGACGACCGGGACGGACGGGGACGACGGGGACGCCCGGGGACGACGGGGACGACGGGGACGACGGGACGACTGGGACCGACGGGACGACGGGACGGACGGGGACGACGTGGACGACGGCGGACGGAATGGGACGACGGGGACGACGGGGACGACGGGGACGACGGGACGACGGGGACGACGGGACGACGGGACGACGGGGACGAGGGGACGACGGGGCGTACGGGACGAGGGACGACGGGGACGACGGGACGACGGGACGACGGGGACGACGGGACGACGGGGAGACGGACGGGGACGACGGGGACGACCGGGGACGACGGGGACGACGGGGGACGACGGGGACGAACGTTGGGACGTACTTTTTTGGTTTGTGCATTTTCCTTTGATCTTTTTTTTTTTGGGGACGACGGGACGACGGGGACGACGGGGACGACGGGGACGACGGGACGACGGGGCTCGACGGGGACGACGGGGACGACGGGGACGACGGGACGACGGGGACGAGGGGACGACGGGGACGACGGGGACGACGGGGACGCGGGGACGACGGGGACGACGGGGACGACGGGGACGGACGGGGACGACGGGGACGACGAGGGGACGACGGGGACGACGGGGACGACGGGGACGACGGGGACGACGGGGACGACTGGGGACGACGGGGACGACGGGGGACGACGGGGACGACGGGGACGACGGGGACGACGGGGACGACGGGGACGACGGGGACGACGTGGGACGACGGGGACGACGGGACGACGGGGACGACGGGGACGACGGGGACGACGGGGACGACCGGGGACGACGGGGACGACGGGGACGACGGGGACGACGGGGACGACGGGGACGACGGGGACGACGGGGACGACGGGGACGACGGGGACGACGGGGGAAGACGGGACGACGGGGACGACGGGGACGACGAGGGACGACGGGGACGACGGGGACGACGGGGACGACGGGGACGACGGGGACGACGGGGACGACGGGGACGACGGGGACGACGGGGACGACGGGGGACGACGGGGGACGACGGGGACGACGGGGACGACGGGGACGACGGGGACGACGGGGACGACGGGGACGACGGGGACGACGGGGACGACGGGGACGACGGGGGACGACGGGACGACGGGGGACGACGGGGACGACGGGGACGACGGGGACGACGGGACGACGGGGACGACGGGGACGACGGGACGACGGGGACGACGGGGACGACGGGGACGACGGGGACGACGGGGACGACGGGGACGACGGGGACGACGGGACGACGGGGACGACGGGGACGACGGGGACGACGGGGACGACTGGGGACGACGGGGACGACGGGACGACGGGGACGACGGGGACGACGGGGACGACGGGGACGACGGGGACGACGGGACGACGGGGACGACGGGGACGACGGGGACGACGGGGGACGACGGGGACGACGGGGACGAGGGGACGACGGGGACGACGGGGACGACGGGGACGACGGGGCCGACGGGGACGACGGGGGACGACGGGGACGACCGGGGACGACGGGGACGACTGGGACGACGGGGACGGACGGGGACGACGGGGACGACGGGGACGACGGGGACGACGGGGACGACGGGACGACGGGGACGACCGGGGACGACGGGGACGACGGGGACGACGGGGACGACGGGGACGACGGGGACGACGGGGACGACGGGGACGACGGGGACGACGGGGACGACCGGGGACGACGGGGACGACGGGGACGACGGGACGACGGGGACGACGGGGACGACGGGGACGACGGGGACGACGGGGACGACGGGGACGACGGGGACGACGGGGACGACGGGGACGACGGGGACGACGGGGACGACGGGGACGACGGGGACGACGGGGACGACGGGGACGACGGGGACGACGGGGACGACGGGGACGACGGGGACGACGGGGACGTTTAACATGCGCTTCAAAAGGCGGTTATGGAGGCGATTGAAAGCGTGCGGCTGTGGTGTGGTGTAGCAGACAGACACTGGGCTGTGGTGATGAGCGGATCCCCACAAGGAGAAACGGGTCCCCTCCCCATGCGTGGGGGATTTCAATTCAAGGTGTTTCTGAAATTTCTCAGAAACGGATTTCTATGGGAGGTTTGTACTGCTCGCACGCACCTTCCCCGTCCACATGCAGAGAACCCCCCTCCATGACGAGCGAGGTGCGGTGGCGCGTGCAGCCTGGAATGAGCTCCGCCAGCTGATGCCATGCCCATGGGGGGTGACGCCATGGCATGCCCACATGGTGGCGCGATGCATGGGTGGTTGGGTTTGGAGCATACGATTGTGGCATAGCAAGGTGTTTTTTTATGGGATTCGGGATGACCAGGGGCATGGATGGGTTCTGTGAGTTCAGGATCGCTGTCAGTATGAACAGCTGACGGCCGCGTCAGAGAGCATTTGCATGTGCATGTGCATGTGTATGTGCATGTGCATGTGCATGTGCATGTGCATGTGCATGTGTATGTGCATGTGCATGTGTATGTGCATGTGCATGTGTATGTGCAATGTGCATGTGCATGTGCATGTGCAATGTGCATATGTCACGTGCATGTGGATGTGCATGTGCACGTGCCTTGGCAGGAATCAAGTTATCAAGAGACCAATCAGCATAGCACCCGCTCTCAGCACCTGGCAGGCGAATATGGAGAGGAATAAGGAGAGGAGATTCAGGAGAGAGAAATAAGGGGGAGAGAGAGCAGGAGCATGTGTGGCATCTATGATGGCGCGTGCCTGTCATGATCGCATGTGCACACGGGATGGTGTGCATGCCATGATGTACGTGCCATGCCAAGATGTACGTGAGCACTCACTCACCACCCCATGCGTTGAAGGTCCAATCAATAGCTGCCACGTGTCGCTCGTTACCACCTGGCACGTCCTTCACCACGAACTGCAACAGCCACGAGTGAGCGGGAAGAGAGAGCAAAGGGAGGACAAAAGCGGCATGGGGGAGGAGGGAGAGAGGCGGAAAGGGAGAGAGGGTGAGAGGGGGAGCGCGGGAGAGGTTTGACTGAGAGTGGTGGTGGGAGGGTTAAAGGATGGGAGGAAGGCAGGAATGGACTGAGGAGGGTGGTGGGGCAAGGTAGTGTGGTGTTCCCTTTCCCGCCATCAGCTGTTTTGAAAGGCCTCCAACCACTCTCAATCTTGGAGGTTGACACTTATCCAGTGAGTTCCAAAGAACGCCACAAGAGAACTATCATTCTTTGCTTAAGAGGCCCCGCATACTGCATGCCACTCCAAACCATCCTCTTCCCCGGGTCCAACAGGCATTGGAAGGACCAGTCTATTACTGAAGCGCCTCAAGAAAAGGCTCCCTGGTTCAACTGGTGACAGAGGAACGAGTTGAACTGGTAGCGGCGCGGCTTACAGTGGGGCATATGTCTCGGGCCCACGCGTCGTTGCTGCTCATCTCTATCACACGCACTGATGGCGGCAGCTGCTGCCGCGCGTTCTGCCACTGGTGATTGGACGGGTGGGATGGTTCAAGAAGAAGGATGAGATGGGACGAATGGAAAGGGAAGAGAAGGGGACAGGGGCGAGGGGTATGGGGGGAAACCTGGTGTACCAGAATTCTTTTGAGTCGACTCAAACAGTCACCACATAACACACCTCTGCATAAAAGCCTCTGTGCATTCCATTCTCATTCCTCATGATCATCCTTACTGGTACTCTCTCAGCAACGGACCACTCATTCCTCTGCCTCGCATGCACGCTGCTTCTCCCCTCCGCACCTCCCTCTCTCACACCCTGCTGTCCCCGACTCGTTTCTCCCACCGCTCACCCTTTCCCAGCCCACCTTTTCCCCAACACCCTCTCCCCCCTCCCCCCTCCGCTTCCGCCACCGCGCGTGCGCGCACCTGTGCGCCCGACACCAGCATGCGCACCTGTGCGCCCGACACCAGCATGCGCACGGGCTCGAATCGGCTGATGCACGCCGCCACCGCCGCGAACGCCTGCTGCGCTGGCGCCGCTGCGTCGCGCCAGTTGTCGGGACGTTCCTGGTGCACGCCGCGGGGAAGAGAGCGAGAGCGGTGAGGTGAGGTGCGGATGAGTGGGGTGTTGGGAAGTGAGGTGCAGTGCGGTGGGGTGCGGACCAAGGAAGGGAACTGGGAAGCGGTGGACGAAGCGGAAAAGGGGAAGGGAAGGCGCGACGGGGAGAGAGCGCGAGGAGCGCGGGGTCATGCGGGGAGAACTGACGGGCCAGATCATCCAACACCCATCGTGCGGCTCCCATTCGGCGGGCATCCAGAATCCGCGCAGTGCCTCGCGAAGCCGAATAAGCTCCTCGTTGTCGCAAGTGACAGTTGAGTCCACAGCAAAAGCCGCTTCCAGCCGCGCCACGTCTCCTCCCAGAACTCCCCGTCTTTCCTCTGGTTCTACTTCGCTCTCCTCCTTCGGGCTGCTCCGCGCGGCGATCGGTTCCGCCTCTGCAACCGACATCTCTGGCCCCGCCGAACCAGCTCCGAAAGTCTTCCCGCAGAGCTTCTGGACGCACAGTTATTAATTTCGCATGAAATCAACGCTTGGGAATAGCAAACAGAGGGCTTGAAATTTCAGCCGTCCGATCAGCCAAAGGTTTCGTGATCTGACCATCCGCGTGAATGACTTCAAGTAAGTGCCGACTGTTCGCGTTTATAGGTGACGGCATGTTTTATAGTGACTCTTGTAACTGACCATTCGCGTTTTCCCCCTTTTAGGTTCTACTAAGCCATCTACAATCGAGTACAGCCCAACCATCGCTCAAGAGGCAAGATGATGATGTGGACTGGATGGATGTGTTTGATTTGGATGTGTTTGCAGGCATCAAGGGCGCGGCGCCCTACTCAACCCAATCGAACCCCTTCCTCTAACCTTACTCAACACAAACCAAGAGCGGCAAGCAAGATGTGACAGTGTTTTGTTCGCGCGATGCTCTGCGACTGTCGCACACAGCACATCAGCGATATAATCGCCTCAGTTTCGTCCCGTTCCGTCATCCTCGCCGCCTTTTCTACCCTATCCCATCCATCCCATCTGATTTTGCTGATCAGATTCAGAAGCTTGCTCATGCCAGCAGGCGACTGACTGATGCCTTGCTTTCAAGTGGCATCTTTTCATTGCATTCTGCTGGTCCTCCTCAATTATTCTGCCTCTTTGTCGACCCAGCTGAATCTGGCACAGTCATTTAGTTTATTCATTACATTAATTGTTGAGTTTCATAAATATGACCTCTTGATTCACGCATTTCAGCAACCACGCGACGCGGCCATCTAGGGCTGCCTGCATCATCTTAGCCGTCGCGCTGCGCTTCGCCGTCAACAGCAAGAATGGGATCAGCTTCGTCCACGCTCTCCTCCAGTGACAACCCGCCACCTGTGACAACCGCATCCGCACCATCGTATGGGGTATTCGGGTCGGCTGGCGCCGCGTCAGGCGGCCAGCTGTTCGTGTCGCTCCGTCTAGTCGACTCGCATCCGTCTTCCCCGTTAGAATCCGCCGCGTTAGATTCACCGCAGGAGTCCGGTCCGTCGCAGCTCATTCCGCATGTGGTCGGCGCGCATCCGCTCGTCGGCGCGTGGGACCCGCTCGCTGCGGTGAGTGCCTCGCGCAACTCGCGCTGACAACCCTTCTAACCCTACTCGGATTCACAATTGAATCGTAAACATAGTTAGTGCATTCCGCAAGGCAGCTCTTTCCGCCTTGCGTTTCATGCGTGCCGAACGCTTCAGTCTTTCAGAATTAGCTTTGCCCGCAATTGCCGCTCGGCAACAGCATCCGCGTGTCTCTTGTGCCTTCCCATCAATAGGTGCCTATGGAGCGGGATTCGCTGTGCGCGTGGCAGCTGAACGTGTTGCTGCCAGCACAGCACGGTGAGTCGCATCGCATCCTGCCTTATCACATTGCGCGTCTCGCTCCTCGCGCATTCACCCAGGTAGCAGTCGGATCACGCTGCTCCTGCTGCTGCTGCTGCCGCCGCCACCACTGCCGATGCGTCCTCCGCTGCTGCTGCTGGCCAATTACTCTCGTTTTCCACCGGACCCGTTGACTCCCCAACCGTTCCAACAGCCTCTTCATCGCATCCCAATCCCCCCATGACCCAACCCAACCCCTCTCCCAACCGCGCGCAGCGCCGTTGGAGTTCAAGGTGGTGCTGAAGACAGTGGGCGGCATGATCATGCTCGACGACCCCTGCCTCCTAGAAGAGGGCCCCCCGCGCCAAATCATCGCCGGACACCTGGCAGGCTCTGACTCGTCCCGTCCCGCCCGGTTCCTCCTGAGGGACTTGTGGAGGAAGGCAGAGGAGCGGGGAGCGGAAGGGGGGAGCAGCGCGGTAGGGGGAAGCGCTGGGGGGAGTGCGGGGGCGAGTGCAGGGGAGAATGGAGAGGAGGTGGCGTTCCCTGTTGAGATGAGTGCGAGGGCAGTGTCGCCGTTTGTGCTGGCAGCGGCGTGGAAGCTGTACGATGGGGCCATCTCGTCGCAGGGCACGCTGGTGCGCGGCATTCCCGACGTCTGCGCGGAGGCCTTGCCCCTGCCCTCTCCCGTCCATATATCGCCCGTGATCGCTGTAAGGATTGCATGGAATGGAACGGCAGAGTGGCTTAGAAGTTATTATGTTTCTGGTCGGAGAGAGAGGGTATTTGGGCTTGTAACAGCTCGTGACAGCCTCTCAAATCCTCACTGTTCACCATACATTGTCCCTCCTCGTCTGCACTCCCTTACGTCACCTGGCACCCTTCTCCTTCCCTCTCCTGCTCTCGCTCTCCTCCTCCCTGAACCCCCTGGCAGCCGCTGTTATCTGACTCACTAAAGGACTACGAGGTGCCGCCTCCGCCGCACAAGGTGCCGCTCTATGCAGCGGACGCCACAGAGGACCCGCGCTCCCTGCGCCAGTCCGCCGACGCGCCCCTCTCCGCCAGCCCGGGGGGCGCCAGTGCGGGTGGTGCTGTGGTGACGAGGGTGAGCAGTGCGCCGCACAGCACGGGGCACACGCCGCAGCAGTCACCGTCGCCCATGATGCGATCTGTGGTGTCCATTAAGGTGAGCAGTCGCAGTCGCCTTAATGTGACTTACGGTCACTTGACTTGACGCGATGAACATAACGTGTCCCTCTTCCAACATCAACGCCACCACTTCACATCACATCACATCACATCACATCACATCACATCACATCATCGGGCCTGAACATGGCGTCCTGTAATGACGTTCCCTACCTCCCAGTGCATGCGGCACATGCATTACACATACATGGAATGGATGCCCATCGTTCCTCATTCATTCCCCTAACCATGCCGCCCCAGGACCTGGTGCTGCTGGGCGAGGAGGAGCAGTCCCGTATGGACCATGCGGCACTGGCAGCGGCGGCAGCAGGGGAGCACGCGCATGAGCCGGGCGCAGCAGGAGAGGACGTGTCAGCTGCAGCTGCTGCCGCTGCCGGGCTGGTTCAGGTGCCCAGCCCTGCTGACGCTGCTATGAAGCGCGCCCAGACGCGTCTTCTGCAGCAGCAGCAGCAGCAGCAGCAGGCAGAAGCAGAGGCACGGGCAGAGGCAGAGGAAGAAGCAGAGAGAGGTGTGGAGGGGCTGAGGCTGGAAGGTGCAGCAGTGGGGCCAGGCATTGGGCAGCAGCAGGGAGCGGTGGGAACACCGCCGCCCCATGTGCTGGGTCCTGTGAAGTCCCTCAGTGCACGCAGCTCTGGAAGCAATGGCAGCTGCGGTGGCCTTGCGGATTTGGACCTTGACGTGAGTCTCTTTGAAAGCTTTTAAACCTGGACTTATATGTGAGTCGGGTCGGGAGGAGGGGAATGAGGGCGGAGGGAAGGGGCGATTAGGTGGAGGGGAGAGGAGATAGGGAGGGAGAGGAGAAGGGGGAGGGGCATGGAATGGGGAGGAACGGGGGGGCCTGCAGAAACTGCAGGGTACAGCGAAAGGGTCTAAAGGTTTAAGAGTCGAAGGTTCAAAGTTCTAAACCACCCTTAACCCCAACCAAATGGTTTGAGGTCTAACGTCCAAATGTCTCCTTTCTCTTCCCCCCCGTGTGTCTCCCCCACCTTCGCACCCTGCCCTCCTGTGTGTGTGCGCCCCCCCCCCTCACACACCCCATGAGCAGCATCCGCGGCTGTCATTCCCTGAGGACCTGCCAGAGGCAGCGGGAGCAGTGGCGGCAGCAGCAGCGGCGGAGAGGCTGCTGGGACCCAAGGAGAGGCGCCGCCTTGCTATCATCATGGTGAGGGCGCGGGCGGACGGGTGCGTGGGAAGGGTGGGAAGGGCCGTGACCGGCGCGAGGGGTGGGAGGAGTGGGAGCGGTGGGAGGGATCACGAGGGATCGTGGATTGTGGTAGTTTAGGGTTAAAATTCCCATTCAATTCAACCATGATTCATCTCACTCATGCAAACACTACGCCTGCCCTTCCGGCTTTCCCCCATCCGCCCCCCCGTCGGTTCACGGGGTGGCATGGTGGCACCTCACATGGTGGCCCCTCACACTGTGGCACGGTGGCCCCCCTCCCTCCCGCAGGTGGGCCTGCCAGCGCGCGGCAAGACGTTCACAGCAGCCAAGCTCACACGCTACTTGCGGTGGCTGGGCCACGAGACAAAGCACTTCAACGTTGGCAAGGTGCGTGCTGACTCTACGGAAAGGGGACGGCTTGCAACGGCCATGTGGTGAGCTTGAGGGCAGGCGGTGGTGCATGTTTTGGGGTGCCTCTTTCTCTCTTGGCATGCTAGTTTCAGGGAGATGTACGCTCATTTGTGAGCATGCGTGGTGGTTGTCAGCTTCTTGTGGCCCTCGTTCCACTCAGAATTCCACTTGGAGCCTCATTTGCAACAACTTCCTTCAACACATAACCTTTAATTCTGAGCTGCCTTGAATATCCCCCATGCAAGTGGATCATCTCATCTCTCTACACACACTCCCTCTCCCCCATGTCACTCATTCCGGCTTTCCATGCTATCCATCCCCCTCCCATGCACATCCTTGGTCCGGCTCCTCCCTGTGCCCAACCACCATCTGCACTCGCAGTATCGGCGACTGAAGCTGGGAGCCAGCCAGGTACGTCTACTACCTGGTTTGTGTGCTGGGAGATGTTGGGTTTGTGTGTAGTGTAGTGCTCTTTGGGCGGACTGAACTGCCGTGTGTAGTGCCAGTAGTTTGCCGGTGGTTTCAGAGTCGGTTGCAAGAGGGGGCAATAGTCTGAGCGAATCTGGGCCTTGCTTGCATGCCGTGCTGCCTTATGCTTTAGTGAAGTGTGGCCATGAATCGTGCTCTTATCTCTTGAATCATGCACGCCATGCCATGTGGTGGCATATGTGTTCTCCTTCCCGTGCCTTCCCTGCCCTGCCCTGCCCTGCCCTGCCCTGCCCTGCCCTGCCCTGCCCTGCCCTGCCCTGCCCTGCCCTGCCCTGCCCTGCCCTGCCCTGCCCTGCCCTGCCCTGCCCTGCCCTGCCCTGCCCTGCCCTGCCCTG